TGGTGGAGGAGGGCACGGTTGTTGTTTTCAATCGGGAGGGAGTTTCAGACTCTGAGCTCCAGATCCGGGCAAGTCTCTAGGGACCCAGACTCAAAAGGGAGAAGTGGGACTGTCTGGCTTTGGTCGGAACACGAAGGCAGCTTTCTTTCGGAGGTTTGCAGCAGATGATGAGACTCTGAGAGGCAGAGCCCCTGGGGACGAAACTGAGAGCAGCCATAACTGCTCGCTCTGCCAGCCCTGTAGATCCCTGGGGACCCGCCCCGCCCAAGCCCTGCACAGAGGCATTTGCCGGATAGCCTTAGGCAAACGCTAGATTAACACCGCCCTAGAGATCCAGCACAGAAGCTCTCCCACTGCAGACACAGCTGATTCTCATAGCCAGTTAGCCTGGAGGGCAAATCACCCCCAGTATTGCCAACAACAATCAAGGCTTAACTACAACAAGACTGCGCACAAAGACCACAAGGGGGTGCACTAAGAAAGCATAAAAAATGCGGAGACAAAGAAACATGACAGAAATGGAGGATATAGAGCTAAAAAACACACTTTTAAGGTCTTTCAGTAATTTTCTAGAAACTGCCGATAAACTTGATGAGAACTACAAGAAATCTAATGAGACCCTCGATGTTGTGATAAAGAACCAGCTAGAAATTAAGCATACACTGACTGAAATAAAGAATATTATACAGACACCCAACAGCAGACCAGAGGAGCGCAAGAATCAAGTCAAAGATTTGAAATGCGAAGAAGCAAAAAACACCCAACCAGAAAAGCAAAATGAAAAAAGAATCCAAAAATACGAAGATAGTGTAAGGAGCCTCTGGGACAGCTTCAAGTGTACCAACATCAGAATTAGAGGGGTGCCAGAAGATGAGAGACAGCAAGATATTGAAAACCTATTTGAAGAAATAATGACAGAAAACTTCCCCCACCTGGTGAAAGAAATAGACTTACAGGTCCAGGAAGTGCAGAGAACCCCAAACAAAAGGAATCCAAAGAGGACCACACCAAGACACATCATAATTAAAATGCCAAGAGCAAAAGACAAAGAGAGAATCCTAAAAGCAGCAAGAGAAAGAAAATCAGTTACCTACAAGAGAATACCCATACGACTGTCAGCTGATTTCTCAACAGAAACTTTGCAGGCCAGAAGGGAATGGCAAGAAATATTCAAAGTGATGAATAGCAAGAACCTACAACCAAGATTACTTTATCCAGCAAAGCTATCATTCAGATGTGAAGGCCAGATAAAGAGCTTCACAGATAGGGAAAAGCTAAAGGAGTTCATCACCACTAAACCAGTATTATACAAAATGCTGAAAGGTATCCTTTAAGAAGAGGAAGAAGAAGAAAAAGATAAAGATACAAATTATGAACAACAAACATGCATCAATCAACAAGTGAATCTAAGAATCAAGTGAATAAATAATCTGATGTACAGAATGAACTGGTGGTTATAATAGAATCAGGGACATAGAAAGGGAATGGACTGACTATTCTTGGGGGGGGGGGGGAAAGGGGTGTAGGAGATGCGGGAAGAGACTGGACAAAAATCGTGCACCTATGTATGAGGACAGTGGGTGGGGAGTGAGGGTGGAGGGTGGGGCGGGAACTGGGAGGAGGGGAGTTATGGGGGGGAAAAGAGGAACAAATGTAATAATCTGAACAATAAATATTTAATTTAAAAAAAAGAACCCATTGTGGCCCTCAAGTCAAAAAGTTTGCCCACCCCTGGCCTAGAGTGTGGGGCCTGGACCCTCCTGCTTCAACTCCCAGATGAACAAACTCAGGCTCAGAGAGGCCTGGGTGTGGTTCAGTCTTTTCACCCATGCCTGCATCCCAGATGCTAATGACAGTGGCAGCAGCGGTGGTACTACTCAGGGCCCAGCCTGGCCATGCTGGCCCTCCCCCAAGAGGGGACACACACACACACACACACACACACACACACACACGGGGTGCCTGCTCCAAGTCTCTGTGACCAGACTGTGGCTCACTGAGCAGTCAGTAGGACAACCCCTGAGGGCTTCCGGACTGTGAGAGGGGGCAAGCTGGGCTGAGGCCCCCCCCCCCCCCAGTGCATGAATTTCGTGCACCGGGCCTCTAGTATAAAAATAAAGGGTCCTAGAGCATCAGCCTGAAGACTGAAGGGTCTTGGTTTCGATTCCGGTCAAGGGCACATACTGGGGTTGCAGACTTGATCCCCAGTAGGGGATATGCTGGAGGTAGCCAAAAAATGATTGTCTCTTATCATTGATGTTTCTTTCTCTCTTCCCTCTTCCTCTCTGAAATCAATAAAAATATATTTAAAATAAAATAAAGAAATGAAGCTGACTGTGAAATAAAATGTGCAGCATGGCTCAGTTTAGCTCTATAATGTTCATAAAAATAAGACTAGAGTTTATATACTTCAATTTATAATGATGGTCACCTGTGAGTGATAGAAATGGGTTTGATATTAATTTTGCTTATTTACATGTCCTCATTTTTCTACAAAGAACATTAGTTTTATATTAGAAAAAAACAAAATTGTAAATCTATCGTATATAATAAAAGAGAAACATGTAAATTGACTGTCCCTCCGCTATGCTCACCAGCCAATTCAGCAGTGAGTATGCAATTTAACCCCACAAAGATGGCAGGTTAATTTGCATACACAGGCACCTGGTGGAGAGCAGAGCAGGAGAGCCGGCAGAGAGTGGAATGGCTTGGGGAAATTGGCTCCCCAAGCCGCCAGACGGAGAGCAGAGAGAGAGAGCTGGAGGCTTGGAGGACTTGGCAGAGTGGGAGGACATGGGACAGAGACAGTGCAGGAAGGGAAAACCAAGATCGCATGGGGAGCATCAGGAATTTTGGGAATAGTAGTTTTGGTGGCAGCCCCAGGACCAGAAGCGAAAGCCCAGAGTGCGGGAAGCACCAGGAATGCTGGGAATCATAGTTCTGGTGGCAGATGGATCTCCTAAACCAGTGGTCTCAACCTTCCTAATGCCGTGACCCTTTATGTTGTGGCTACCCCCAACCATAAAATTATTTTCGTTGCTACTTCATAACTGTAATTTTGCTACTGTAATGAATCATAATGTAAATATCTGATATGCAGGATGTATTTTCATTGTTACAAATTGAACATAATTAAAGCATAGTGATTAATCATAAAAACAATATGTAATTATATATTCAATATGTGTTTTCCGATGGTCTTAGGCGACCCCTGTGAAAGGGTCATTCGATCCTCAAAGGGGTCGCGACCCACAGGTTGAGAACCACTGTCCTAGACACTAGAGCAAAGTGAGCCTGGAGCAAGTTACTGTTGCAGTGGGGGATGGAGAGAAAGCAAAGGTGAGAGACATAAGTAAAATCAGAGTGTGTAGGAAAAATTAAAGGGAAGATATCCTAAAACTTCCAGGAAATCTCAACCAATGAAGCAAAGAAAAAAAAAAGCCTCTATTATTCTGTGAGCAACAAACCAAACTGAGTTGGGGTCTCAGACAATTCGCTCATATTATTGCAAAGACAGACAGAAACTCCTGGATTGGAGAGGGCTCCCCTGAGGGCTCCCAGATTGGAGAAGGTGCAGGTCAGGCTGAAGGAACCACACAGCCCCCAGTGCACGAATGTCATGTACCAGGCTTCATATATATATATATATATATATATATATATATATATATATATATATGCCTAAGCGATATATATGCCTAAGCGACTGCCAGAGGGTTTGACCGTCCTACTGGTAGCTATGATGCGCATTGTCCACCAGAGGGCAAATGGCTAACTGGTGGCTATGACACACACTGACCACCAGGGAGCAGATGCTCAACGCAGGAGCTGCTTAGCTGCAGTGACTTGGCAGCTGCGGTTCTCGGGTGATACACTGGGAACCAGAGAGGAGGGAGCCCGATTCCAGGGTACATCATCCAAGAACCACACACTTGCAATCCGGGACCCCTCGGAAGATGTTGGAGAGCCAGTTTCAGCCCGATCCCCACAGGTCAGGCTGAGGGACCCCACCTGTAGACTAATTCATGCACCGGGCCTCTAGTCTGAAAATAAAATACCCAAGTCTACCATTTCTTTATCTGAGACTCTGTACTGATCAGGTCCATTTGTGTGATCCCCCCCTTCTTAAACTACTATTCCACCTTGCCCACGCCTCTCTTACCATGGACTTTGCACACTGTTCTAGTTATTGGATGGACATCTGTCTTCTCTTCCAGATTTGAGTTTGTAGTGGACAGGGCTGTGCTTTACTAATCTGTGATCTTTTAAGAGTTGGTGTAAAACCAGTGCTTAATACACATTTATGGAGTGAATCATTTAAAGGGGAGATGGCACCTCAAAGTACTAAAGGATCAAAGCTGCCACTGAGGTGGGGAACCCGGATGTGGAAGTCAACAGTGTTGCTGGTGCTGGAGAGTAATTTGAGAAATCTACCCTGTCATACTCAGATGGTGGGTTTCAGCGGAGTCCCTGGGGCATCATTGAAACAAAGAGGGAAGTTGGTTTTGTAGAGAAAAAGAAAGACTCCTTTTCAGATAGACCCATTCTGAGGTGACAGGGGAGAACCTAGGACCAATGTCATAGTCAACAGCCATCAAAGGGGTGCCTGAAGCAGCTGAGTGAGCTGTTGCATGAAAAAAGCATGTGTGAGGGAGAATCAGAGGCAGGTGGGCTGGGTGGAGGGCAGCTGACGTCAGCATGTGGGTGGAAGTGCACCCAGGAGAGAAGGTGGCCATTGTGACAGAGACAGGAAGAGAAGCAGCAGCGCAAGGCAGGGCCACAGCAGGCTGCCCAGAAGCAGGGAGGGAAGGTCACGTGGTCACATACTGCTGCAGAGGACCCTAGGTGGACAGAGAATGGGGGTCAGATTTTGTTGTTAGAAGTCACTGGTCACATCAATCCTTTAGCCCCTGGGGCCTGGCTTAGTGAGAGTGCCCCCAGTGGTCAGGACAGTGACACCAACAGAGGAGCTGGAGAGAGGAGAGAGGGGAAGCACTTACAGAAATGCACCGGAAGTCCTTCCTGCTTGTCTGTGCTGTCCACCCTCATTCAGTTGAAGCCTTTCAATGCGGTGGCAGAATTTAAAGAAGAAAGTGAACAGCAGGAGCTCCATGTCAGTTTGGACACATATCCTCATTTCATCGCAAGTGAAAATATTTTTCATAAAGTTTTTATCCTGAATCTCATAAAAACAGTGCAGCAAATGCCAAGAATATAAGTCTAGCTTCAGACGCTTCAAAAGGACCTCCCTCTTGGCCAAGAGCAGCAGAGAGCGATGCTTCTCCCGAGACAGGCTGCATTTGAAGATGCTCTTCATCTCTCTCATCCCCTGATCACTCAAAAGGCCAAATAGGAAACATGTGGTTGGTTCCCCAAACAGGTCATGCCTGTCATATACATCTGTCAAGTCTGTTATAATTTTGATGTTTTTAAAGCGACTACTTTTCAACTCTCCATCGCCTAAAGCATAGGACATTGCTGCAAAGAATTCCTGGAAGCACCGGTGAATGAAGCTGTAGCTCTGAGCGGTGGGGTGCTCTCGAAGAACACCCATGTTTAAGAGAGTGGAGATGTTGGCCCCATCTAACCCGTGTTTTCTAAAGTCCTCTGGGCTGAACAGAGTCTTTCCTTGACAGGTGCCTTCAGCAGCCAGAGAGCAGAAGCCTCTAAACTTAGTCCCGAGGGACTGAGCCTGGAGAACATGGAAAAAGTAGTGCAGACAGAGGGCTGTGGTCGTCTGGGAGGTCAGTGAGAGTGGTTGCTCCTGCTCCATCTGCTGCTTCAGGCAAGTGCAGACCAGCCAGGACACCAAGGGCATGAGACACATGGTGAAGAGAGCTGGGTTGTATTCAACTGAGATAAAGGCTCTAATTGCTTGGCTCTCATCTGTGAAATATTGGAAGAAATACTCCTTCCTGGCCGACTCAGAGAATCCCAGGACCTCCACCCAGCGAGGATGCTTTAAAGAAGGAATGAGTTTTCTCAGAGCTGTGATCCGAGCTGTGATCAGCAGGGAAGCCGTGGGAAGTAAGGTTTTGTTCAGCAAACTGCCCAGCAGTGTGTGCACCTGCTGCTGCTGGCTCCAGTGTGGACAGAGCTCAGAACTCTGCCCCTTCAAGTCCCATTTTGGTTCATCTAAGTTATCAAGAATGAAGAGCAGCTGCTCTGGCTGAAACAGAATCTGCTCAATGGGAGCATCAGGAGCAGCCCAGTCTTTTGTGATGAGCTCAGCGAGACTCATGGTCTCTGACTGGACCAAGTCTCTGCAGTTGAAGTAGAAGACATGCTTGAAGAGGTCTTTGAACAGCCTGCCTTCCTCCCAGGCTCTCCTCACCTGCCTGGCCAGGGTTGACTTCCCGATTCCAGCAACTCCATGCACCACGACAGTGGGAGGCTCCTTCTGGGTACTCAGGCCTGGGCCAAATAAGTCTCTGATCTCCATCAAATGTCTTTGTTCACCTACCACCTCATGACTCCATCTTCTCCTGAGCAGGAAGTCATAGCCTCTGGGTTGAGATCTGTGTAGAAGTAGCAGTTGTGTGAATTTTTGGTGCAAATACTCATTTCTCCATGACTGTGTGGGGCAGGAACTCTCTTGCCTTTGGTTCTGGTATTTTTCTTTGATTCCTACAGAAAGGAGAGAAAGACGGAACATTTGTTCAATTGTTTCTCCACTTATTCCACAATTGTTTTCTGAACCCACTTGAAGCTACACAATGTGCTGGCTGCTGATATGGTACATTCTTGCCAGGCCACTGGAGAAAACAGGGTCTTGAGGAGAAGATCCCAGCTTAAGTTTTGACTTGACCAAATCATTCTCATAGGGTGATATTTCTTCATTCTGCAAATATCTAGGGCTTACACCATGAGGCACTTACCTAGAGGCTGGGAATAAAGAGTGAACAAACAGACACAACTGTCTGCTCTCATTAATTCCATGACCTGAGCTATTAGCCCCAATGAGCGTCAGTTTTTTCATTTATAAATTGTAAGTAGTTATGGTCGATTGAAGGATATAATGGATGATGAAGCGGATAGGATTGGGTTCCTGAGAGTTCCTGCTCTGCACCCACCCATTTAACCACATGGCAAGGATAATCTTCTACTCGCACCTGTGGTTTTCTGTCTGAGGACTCTCTCTCAGGCATTGGGTGTGACAGGCCAGAAGCCCTGGGGAACTAAAGCTCCAGAGGGAGCTCTCAACCAGTGATAGATGGCAGTACCCTGACCCCAGGAAAGATAACACTGTCTCCTGAAGATCCCTAGTTCATTGAACCTCAGTTGCCCCAGAATACAGGTTTCATTGGTTTACACCCTTCCCTTCCAACGTCTCTCTCCTAATGGTGCTTCCAGGGAACCAGTTCCTGAATAAGCCACCTGCTCTCCAATGTAATGTCAGGGTCTGCTTCTGGGGGAAACCACCTGGACAGAGGAGAAAGTGGTTTGTGAACTGTGAGGAGCTGAGCACATGTCAGGGACTGTGCCCCTGGGAGGAACCTCAAGGTCATATCTTTGTCAGATTCCAAGTCAAATTATTGCTACAACCTTTTCCCTTCTTCCCTTCAGAATATTTTGAGTGACTCTCACCTCTCTTCGTAGATGAATGTTTGAGATGATGCAAGTGACCCACCTGGGGTCCTGAAGCCCAGTTCATCTTGGGAAACCTGCTGGACCTCCAGAGTACGTGGGCCAATTTTCACCTGTAGCTTGGTGAGAATAGGGTATTAGGGGCCCACTCCCTTCTCTGGAATCATGATCTGAAGATCCACTATTATTGTCTCTCATGAGAACATTTCTGGCAAAGTGCAGATCTTCTAATGCATCAATATGGCCACTCTGCGTCATGGTTATGGCCCACCCCACTCTGAATCCTATGTCTGCCTGAGGTGCCAAGAGAGGACTTAGGACTTTTTGGTGCCATGTTCTCCAAAATATCCTGGTTTTAATGGACCTGCTAGCATTCCACATATCTAAGTTCTCTTGGTTTAGTAGAACTTTCAAAATTCTACCCTTACCACCAATACGTCTAACAAGATACATTTTAGTATTATGCTTTTGACCAAGGGTTGGCAAACTCTGGCCAAATCTGAGTGTCCACCTGTTGTACAACCTGTGACCTAAGAATGGTTGTTACATTTTTAAATGGTTGAAAAAGTCAAAGAATAATAATATTTAATGACATGAAAATTATATAAAATTCAAGGTATATGAAGAGATGTACATCCAGGTACATGAAACTCTTAGGTCCTGGTAGAGATTCAACTTTAAAAGGACTTCATTTATTACATTATAAAGAAATTGTCAAAAATGAAAGACAAAGAGAATATGAAAGGAGCAAGAGAATGACTGATCTTATACAAGGGGACTCCCACAAGCTATGAACAAATTTCAGCAGAAACGTTGCCATTCAGGAGGGAGTAGATGGTATATTCCAAGTGCTGAGAGAAAAAAAAAAACTGTCAGCTAAGAATAAGCAAAAGTTCAGAAATGAAAGAGCTATAAAAGTATTCCTAGATAAACAAATGCGGAGAGAGTTCATTACCAGTAGAATGGACTCACAAGAAATGCAGAAAGGAGTTCTCTAAGCTGAAATAAAGAATTTTAATTGGTAACATGAAAACATATGAAAGTATATATCTCAGTGGTAAGGGTAAATATATAGTCAAATTCAGAATATGCTATACAGTAATGATGGCATGTAAATAATTCTAGTAGAGTGATGAAAAGACAAAAGTATTGGCTGTGGGAGTGGGGTGGGCTTGGGGTTGTCAGACTTAAGCAAATCCTGGGAGCTGGTGAAGGGGGGCATGGAGGCACTGATGCAGGACAGTATGATGACCTTGGAAAGTCTTTGGGGTATGCAGTGGGTCATTGGCTGATGATCAGGCATCTGACTTTAACTTTTAGCTTTGTAACAGCTTAAGGGACCACGTGAGAACATGTGTGGAGTTGGCCCCTGTCACTGCAAACGGTTCAGAGTTTGTATGCTCCTTTTTACAAGTGATTTCCCAGCTCACAGTTCTCTGCTGAGATATGAGTGGGATTTGAGAATTTGGGGAACACCTGCAGCTTTGTAACTTCAGAGGTGTAATCAGTTAAAAAATTCACCTTTTGTGGAGTTGTGTTTTGTCAGTCATCCCTCCTAACTGAGCCCCAAGAAGGACTCCATGAAAAATGACAGAAGAAGTCACTGTTATAGTCAAGTGTGTGTGTGTGTGTGTGGGGGGGGGGCTAAATTGCCCAATTGGACCGGAAACTTAATTAACATTAAAATGAATCAGCACATGTGGCTGCTGAATGACTCTAAGATGTGGTGGCCGGTGAGTAATTGGCCAACAGGACAGGCCATGGTGCTGTCCATCTACATGGAGAGGAAGGGTGGCCCGAAGAAGGGCTCCCTCATGAAGAACCTGAAGAATAAAATGAACCTTTGCAATACCAAGAGGAAGACCAGCATGTGGTTTCGGCAAGATCTCCATTCTTAAAAGCTTTTAGGATGGAGGACCCAGTGTACTCTCCCTCCTGGGAGCATGCCCATGCCTTTCCGCACCCCTTCCCTCCCATCCCCCATTACCATTACCTTTACCTTCCTCACTCCCAAGCTCCAAGGGCCCTTCTTTTGCTTCTGTAAGTTGTTTTCTGAACCCCTTTGTTCTGCCATCCATTTCTGATACCTCTGCAATTTTCTAAGTAAAAGTTCCTTACAGTTTGAGTCTTGGCTCTGAATTCTTCCCTAGTCAGGAGTCAAGTATCAAGGTTGCTGAACCACGGTCCGGTCTGACCCCTCTGGTCTAACACCTGGTGCTGTTCTCGCTGTCATAGTCAACAGCACCAGAAAACAAGAGACCAGTCTTAACTAGGCGAGATCAGGAGGAACCAGTGAGCCCACTGCAGCCTGCCCCACCCTCTCATTGGAGAATGGTGCCCTGATACTGCCGGGCAACTGTCCTGATCTGGGCTCCAGGAACTTTGCATCTCTGGTTCTGCCTCTGCCTCCCATATATGTCATGACTTCTCTCTGTGCCTCAAGTCCCCTCACATGAGGCTGAGAGCCTCTGCCACCCACAGCTGTTAGTAGTAATAACATCCCCAGGGGCAGCAACAGTAGCAACATAACAGTTCATTGAGCACTGACTAGGAAGCGGACTCTGGTAGGTGTCTAACATGAATTACCTCTTTACCTTCCTACAGTCCAGGGGGCAGGCTCCTACCCTCTCATTTTACAGATGGAGAGAAGATGCAGAGAGCGGTGAGGCGACTTGCCCAACGTGGTGGTGCCAGGACTGGAACTTGCTTCTTGCCAACTCCCTTCTGTGCTTATAGCACAAACCAGGCAAGTGGCCTCTTGGGAGGTGGGTGTGAAACACATCCTCCTGCTGGTGCCTCTGAGAGTCAGCCTCTAGACCAGTGGTTCTCAACCTCTGGCCCTTAAATACAGTTTCATATGTTGTGACCCAAACATAAAATTATTTTTGTTGCTACTTCATAACTGTAATGTTGCTACTGTTATGAATCACAATGTAAATATCTGATACCCAGTTTGGTCTTAGGGACCCCTGTGAAAGGGTTGTTCAACTGCCAAAGGGGTCGTGACCCACAGGTTGAGAACCGCTGTTCTAGTCTCTCTGGCCCTCTGAGTGCTCCCTCCCTGGGGCCGTGAGGACCCATGGGGTGCTGGGAATGCACTTGGCATTCTTCCCCCACAAGCCTCTTAGCTGCAGTCTAGTCTGAGTCTGGATCCCCCTTGGACAAGGCAGCTCCCAGTCACTGCCCAGGGTCAGGTTTGGTGGGAGGCTCAGCAGGGTGTGGGAGGGAAGGAGATGAACCGCAGGCAGAGGGAGTTTTGTCTACTCACCTGACTGTAAAGCTGCCTCTTTCCTGGCTGTGGTACACAGCTCGCTCAGGCCCATCTGCTCCCAGGTCTGCTGGGCCAGGTCCCAGGCCTGCTGCTCCCCGTATTGAGCCACAAGGCATGAGGCCACCTCCATGCCACCCACCTCCTCTGGTTGAGCTGGGGTCGCCCCAGGAGAGTGCTGGCAGAGGTCCTTATCAGGCAGCCTCAGCAGGAACTCCCTCAGCTGCTCCTTGCTCATAAACTCCAAGGTCCAGGCCAGCCGCTGCTGGACTCCTTCAGCCATCTTTACTGCATCAACCTGCTCTGCTGCACTGGTTATGTCTCTTGCACTCAGCGGGATTCAGAAGCCCTTTGGGATGCTCGCTGTGGAGGGAGTGGGTGGTGAAGGAATCAGGCAGGCAGAGAAGAGCAGTCATCCTTGGTTCTTACCATCTCCCAATGCAACACTTCTACTTGGGTCATCATGGTCCCCTGGCAAACTCCTATTCAGCATTCAGAACCCACTTTTGTAAACCCCAGGGCATCTGCCAACAGATGGTGTTGGGAGAAGGGATGTGAAGGAGAGAGGCAGGAAAAGGCATAGGAAGGAGGAGTCCAGAGGGGGCTGGGAGACACTGGAAGAGACCAAGTTACTGAGTTGCTGGGTCTGGTCTGGGGGCAGGCAGGAGTGTGAAGGGGGCAGGGATGGGAGGATGGGATCTTCAGGACACTCACTGTTCTGTGCTCCTCAGTCCTCAGTCTCCTGAGTCCTGGACTCTTTGGACCAAGCCTTGAGCTGCAATGCTGACAGGAGGTGGGGGACCGGGAGAGGCAAAGCACAGGGTGGGCTTTGAGAGCCTAGGGCTGGGCTCAGAGCTGCCCCATCCACGTCTCTACAGACCTCTTCTGGTCCCAGGACACCAACCAGGGAGAACAGCCTCACCCAGCAAGAGAGGAACAGAAATCACCTAGAGGAAACCACATGGGGGTGAAGTGAGGGGAGGGGAGGGGCCATCATGATTCTGAGAAGAAAAGAAACTTAGAGCCAAACACCCAGACAGGCCACATCTATAGTCTCCATCTATAGTGAGGCCAGGGGCACAAGGACAGACAGTCTGATGCCCTGGATGCAGACCCATGTAACATGAGGTACTCACATCTCCACATGACACCCTGCCCGGGGCCCCCGTGTATCTTTCTGCTGAGCCAGGTTTGAGAAACTTCAGGAAGTTGAGTGTAGGGACAGAGGCAGCTCTCAGGAAGGGCCACGAGCCCCAAACCTTCCAGGGAAGCAGGGTTCCTGAAGCCCAGTTCATCTCGGGACACCTGCTGGACCTGCAGTGTATGTGGGGTCAATTTTCACCTGAAGCTTGCTAAGACTAGGGTGTCGGGGCCACCCCCACCTCTGGAATCATGATCAAAAGATCCACTTTTGTGGTCTCTGGTGAGGACATTTCTGGCAAAGTGAAGTTCTTCTCGTGCATCAGTATGCCACTCGGGGTCATGGCAATGGCCCACTCCACTCTGAATCCTGTGTCTGCCTCAGGTGCCAAGAGAGGGCTTAGGGCTTTTTGGTGCCACGTTCTTAAAAATATCCCGGTTTTAATGGCTCTGCTAGCATCCAACATACCTAAATCCTCTTGAGTTAGTAACACTTTCAAAATTCTCCCCCTCTCACTAATACTTCTAATAAGTTACATTTTAATATTATACTTTTGGCCAGGGATTGGCAAACTCTAGCTACATCAAGATGGCTAACCAGTGACCTAAGAATGATTGTTACATTTTAAAATGGTTGAAAAAGTCAAAGAAGAAGAATATTTCAGGATATCAAAATTATATAAAACTAGAGGCTCGGTGCATGGATTCATGTACTGGTGGGGTCCCTCGGCGTGGCCTGTGGGGATTGGGCTGAAACTGGCGTCCAACACTGCCTGTGGCTCTTGCCTGCTGCTCCTGCTCATCCTGACCCTGCTGTGCCTGCCAAGCTGGCGCCCAGTTAGTCCTGATCAGGAGAGGCTCGCGCCACCACAGCAGAGTTCACCAGCCATGAGCCCTGTGTCTGGCGTCTGTCCTGAGGGGTGAGGGTCTGGGGCGGGATGTGATTGGCCCTCTGGGTGGTGGTGGGACACCCTTGCTGTCCTGGGATCTGGATCCATCCTGCTGACACTAGCTCATTGTTGGGAGCCATCTGGTGGCTGCTTTTATATCATTTCTTCCTTGAGGATCATCTAGGGAGGGGAAGCGGCCCTGGTGCCCCAGGCTGACTTCCAGGAGGCTTGTGGCACTGTCTGAATTGTGCCTGCAGCGGCGCCAATCCATCCCTGCCAGTCCGTCGGTGCCAGGCCATTCTCTGGAAATTGGACCTGCAGGACTACTGAGGGAGTGAGTAGCTGCCGCCAGACTGGTGGGCCGCTGGGACAGGTCAGTCAGCTGAGCGGTGCTCCCACTGTGGGAGTGCACTGACCACCAGGGGGCAGCTACTGCATTGAGGGGGGATCGATAATTGTTTATTATTTTACCGCTGAGTGGATGTCCTCTCTTTCTTTCAACACACCAATTCGCTCCATAAAAATTTATGTTATTATGGCTGGTCAATGTTTGC